AAATAAAAATACAGTTTACAGTACCTACAGTTTAAGAATATTAATATATTTATTTATTTAAAGTAACTAATGTTTTAATCATATACTCTACGACACTGGTCACTCATTTCCACTCAAAATACCTACATAATCGGATTAAAAGTTTTATAGCTGTATTGTATTTCTTCAGATACAAGGTGGGTTAGTCGAAAACATCTTAAACTGCCAGTTTTAGTTTGGTTTTTGTTATTATATCATATTAGCTGTCCTCTCTGTATTTCAGTTCTCTAATGAGGGTCAAACTTGCAGTGAGCTATCAACGAATTATGAACGGACTATGGTATATTTAGTATCAATATTGCACCCGTGCGAAGCCAGGGCGGTTCGGTAGTTCTTTAGAAACATCCAATGACACGTGGTTCAATTTCAAGTAAAGGTTACCCAGGTCGCGAAATAGAAATTTATTATTTGGTAGTTTTTGAATGTGAAGCAATCTAGATAAGGGAGACACTCTCTATGAAGCCGAGAAAATAACTATGTTTCTCATTACATAAGGTCAATTGATGTTATGAAATCATATTGATAAAATTAGGATAATATCTCCGTGTTTTCTATTTTAAATTTGGAATGATGAATGGATGAGACCCGAAATCGAAAACGATATCGCCTTGTTCAATAAACAAATGACAATTATAAAATCTCTGTGATTGCATTCGAACTGTTGATTTGAGAGCCGCCATTTGCCATTGAAGGGTATTGAGTTGAAGTACCAGCATCTCATAATAATCGAATCATGAACGGACGTAGTTTGAGTGCCTTATTTGTGCTTGTTATTTTGATTGGTTTCGTTTATACGGAAGGTGAGTTATATTTCAAGGACAGTTTATATTTATCAGGAACATTTCATGATGATCATAATCAATAGAGGTATAAGGAATTTAATAGTTCGCTGAAAATAAGGAAATAGTCGTTCTTATGATGTACTTTCACGAATCATTTGAAAACAACAAAAATATTCAATACATTTTTGTAGCGAATTTGAATGATTGTCTTAAGATTGTGCAGAGTAAAGATTGGTATGTGTTGTCATTATTCCTGATACATGGCAAAAAACGATATTTTTTTAAATCGTTTCAACTGAAAATTTATCCACATAGCAATAGTCCTTTTTATATTACAGCCCTCGATGAAGCTAATAAATATTAGCGAAAGCTCGGGCAGCTAAAAAGAGTAAATATTTATTCTAATCAGACCGAATCCCCGAAAAACTACTANGTTGCTTCGTCGGTATATAAAATATTTTTTAGGAAATTTCTATTGTTTAAATATTCCCCTTGAGCCCATAAACAATATTCCAGGCGTCTTGCTTCGTCGTCTTCTTGAAGTGTGTGTAAAAATTTTGGCTTGAAAGGTTTAATATTCTTCGCCTTGAGACATCTCCGAATAGTTTCTCGTGGAATATTCGAATCTAAAGTGGCATTCCTTGTACTGGCATTAGGATTATTTCCGAAATAATCTAAAATGATTTGATCATTTCTGTCATTCCTGTTTCGTCTTTGTAAAGGATTACTTTTAAACATCATTTTTGATACTGCACCAGTTTCATTGAATATTTTATTTATTTATTTACCGTACCGCAGCTAATACGGGACGATCTGGATGTCTCTCATTAAATACTCTACAAACCTCTCTAGCACTTCATCTCCTGTCATCTCCCGAAAGGCGTACAATTTCAATTTCTCTCTTACGCTCAATCTTGCAGCCATGACAAAATAATTCGAAGAACTGTAAGGTGAATATTGTAGACAATAGTACACTTGAATCTTTCACAAGTGTCAAACTGTAATATCATTTCCATGGTAGCTAAGATTCAAATTGAAATATTAGGTCTTAGTTTTAGTTAATTTGCCAGCCCCACTGGGGACCGAATCAAATTTTTAGAGTTCCGCAGAGCCGTACTCTTACCATTTGACCTGAAAGACCACTCACCATACAAACTAATCGGCTTCGTTAAGAAGCTGAGTTTTTCTTTTGGTCGAGTGTGAATAGATGTGAGCCACAATAAACCCTTGCGGGTTGCAGTGAAAGGTCAAATAGACCCATTTACTTTAGACCTAACCCAACCTAATCTAAATATTTATTTTATTCCGTTGCTATGTCTGTGTATATTTTTGATAAGTTCATATGTGATCCGTGTGAAATTCATTTTATCATACTATTATTTTTTTTTATTTTCAACCATATTATGACGTACCTTAAGTACTACCTGTACCTGAACTGTTTGATACATCTTCTACCCTATTCCATAATAATTTATAATTTTTTTCAGACTCGTTCTCTTGCACCCCTGGTCAAAAATTTGCAAAGGATTGTAACTTATGCACCTGCACTCCAGATGGAAAAAACGCTGTTTGTTCTTCAGATCCTTGTGATTCCGAATCGGAATCGAAAGAAGAATCTAGAATGATGGTTGGATTGATGTGGTAATTTTTGTGCAGTTATTCGCCGCGCATATCCACTAATAATCGTTTTAATTTTTATTCTCAGTATGATATCGTTGATTTGTATGCATTTGCACTAATAGTTGAAATTTAGAATTATCAATTTGAACTATCAGTACATATTTGAATAACCATTCTCAGGAAATATATTTGTGAATGATACATTTTTCATTTTTATTGATGACCTATACAAAATTTCACTTAAAATTATTCCTATTTCAATTCTGGATAAATTGAAAGTACGAATCTCAAAATATACACTCATCTGTGGAATTTTCACTGAACAGTTCAACAAAAAGTCAGCACGTGTTTCGCTATACAATAGCTTCTTCAGGCCTGTCATTACAGCTTCATTCCGGAGGTCTACAAAAAGAAATTGACAAGTCAGTTATTTTCTTCAATAAAAAATCAAGGCAGGTTCTTCTGAAAGTATTTCTTGAGTAGTTTTCTCAAACATATTAGGAACATGTTTCAGTATGTTTAAAATGTATGGAATATTTCCTATTAGCAAAGTATGTATTCCCGGAAAATTGTTCGGAAAAATCATACATGGAATTATTTTAGGTCATACACAAAATGAGATAATGGAAAAACAACGTAATTTTTCCGCTGTAGATCCATTGATACTAATTGAATAGAGTTTACAGATTATGTGATAAAGAATATGGATGTTATATGTTGTTTATTGACCTTTTCTAGTCATACCCAAAGTGACATGGATAAACAAGATCAATGTCAATTCTGACTTATGCTAAATCGACATCTGGCAATACACAGTTTGCAAACGACGACACAAAGGACCTTTATTTTCTTTGTTTCAAATCCAGACTATGTAATTTTTATTTTGAATACGTAGCGTAGCAAAATGANTAGGGAGTTGAAGGCACAGGTAGAAAAATACATCTAAAATGTGTCCACCTCAAAAGCAAAATTGACCTGTCCGAGCATTTTTGCGTTTAGTCACAAAAAAAGGAGAAAAGCATGGTGCATACTTTTCGTTGGACCACTCGATATCTTGTATTCTGTAGGTAACTTTAGAGAACACAGTGCTTACTATTTCCCTTTTTCAAAAAATATCAATTTTGAGCGATCAACGACAGCTTTTGATGAGTCATCAGAACGATCTTTAGCTAATTTCAATATAGATTCTGTAAATTTGAGTGTAGAAACTTTGTAAATTTTTTTTCGAAGACTCTGCGGTTTCTTTTTCTCAGCCTGTTCATCTGCTTCACCGGCAAAAAATAAGCAGTTTTCTTTTAAACTGAAGCTGGATTCACTTACTCGTGCTCTAGTACCAGGTGGACTTACTTTTGAAGTACTGGCCTGTTCATCTTCACGTTGTCTTTTTACTGCGGCAATGGAAGTTTTCCGGGTGTATGATTTTCGGCAATCCAAGTGGATTGTAACGGACTTCAGACCTCTTAAATATTCAGTGAACTCATCACTTCTCGCATCACTTACTCGATTGAAGTTTGCATTCCACGATTAACCACAACAGTTTCACCTTCAGTCAAAAGCTTAGAGCAAATAAAGCAAAATTGCGATTTTTTTTTTTAAATATTAATCACTAAAAACTCTTATAGTGGACTTTTGTAATGAATACATATATTCATTCGAACAGAACGTTTAACACTAAAAGAAGCAGGCACATGAACGACGCCACAGATTATATTCAAGGCCATACGGGTAGAGGGGATTTTCGAAGAGACTGACGGTCCTTTAAATGTATATTTTCCAAATATAATGTATAGTATATACATGAAAGAGATACAAACAGTCATTTTCACTTGCTTAAGTATCTGAATGTGCGTATACGTGGCTAATGTATGCATATTACATAGAACGTGACTTTTACAATTGCGATATCTCAGAAACGGAGATACTTATAGAAAAAATTATAATGACCATTTTTGTAGAAGATTTTCAGATCTACAACTTTGGACTGAAATATTTTTTAGATAAAACATACGGTTTTCGAGAAAAACTCAAAAAACCTGAAATTTTGACCTTTGCCCCCGTATTAACTTGTGAAGTGCTCATGGGACAGATTGGGACTTTCAATTTTCGTGAATTCAATATTGTATAATGACCGGACTAATATATCACTTAATAAAATGTACCTGCATGTTGAAAGTTTTTTAACTTCAACTCGCTGTTATATAAATATTGATTACGACAAATTACTGATGAATGAAACACTTTTCTTTGTGAAAATTACTTTAAATTTACACAGTAACTTATGGAAGTAAACTAAATAGTTTGCCCTTTCTACACATGTATAAAGTTCTCCATCACAATTGTGGAAGGTAAAAAATACCCAAAGCCGGTCGATAGAGAGAGAAAGTATACTTTTCCATTGTCCCTATTGTTTTATAGCTGAACCGTTCAATAACAACCAGACGTCACTTCTAATACCCTCACAACGAACACCGGTATCAAGAAACTTGGAAACCGCACTCCAAACTCATGAAGATCACTTCCACACAATACAGTTGAAGTCTATTAAGTTCATTAATTAACTCCATATCGACTTCCATCCAATATCGAGAAGGGGATGATGATGTCCAAAAAACAAGATCGCTATCAATTATAACGTGGCTAGCAGGACCTCTTCTAGTTCATTCTACTATCTGGAAATTATGCTTATCATATTTGAAATATTGTTTACTAGCTTTAGTTTGGAAGATAGTGGGTATATCGTACACGATACTTCGATCAGTATACATGTGTGTGAATGTACTCGTGATAATTTGCTTATTACTCCTGTTCCATAGGTCGTAGAAATTTTTAATTTTTGCAAGTGAATGTGAACTTGAAGACAGTCTATATTGTGTATTGGGTGAGCTGCTATACTTTTGCATAATCTGCTTGAATTGATAAACCGAAAGTACCTCTGAAGTATTATCAAAACGATATTATAGAAACGAACTGAATAGCAGAGGTGCTACAACCGAAAAATTAGTGTAAACATGTCACAAACTAATGTTCTTGAAATGAACACAGAAATCTCCCTTGCTGAAGTTTTTACAGTTCTAATTAACCTTGAAAAAAAACTGACACTACCATTGAAACTCTAAAGGAAATAAAAAAGGAACTGCAGGTG